GGGAGACCCAGAAAAATATGGTTCTGTCCCGTGTAATCGTCCTAGGTGTAATACTTGTCCTTTTATTACAGACACTAATCGTATATTTGGTCCCAAGGGAGATGTTGAGGTCAAATATCCGTTCAGTTGTATCACTATGAATGTTGTATATTGTATTTCATGTATTAAATGCGGGAAACTTTATATTGGTTCTACAGTTCGTCGATTGGGTGATCGGTTTGCTGAGCATCTACGTCAAACTAGACAGAAAAATCGTTATTATCCGGTTTTACTTCATTTTAATTCTAGTGGACATAACATTACAGATATGCCTATTTCTGGTGTATGTGTTGTCAATGGCAACGAAAATCAGCTCAGGCGTGTCTAGGAGGAGACTATATTCCGCCTTGGAACTAAAGAACCCCATGGAATTAACAAACAGTTCAACTCATTTGTTGAGCTTACTACCTAAGACGCGTTTTTGTTCTATTGTGGATTTTTTGTGATTCTAATTTATAGTTCATGCGCGTTCTTACGTTTATATGTTCTACCTGTACGTTTTAACATTTTCTTCTATGCTATCGATAAAGAGCCATTGCTCGAAACGTCTAGTTATTTTTAATAGTTATTTAGGACTACGATTACCAAATATTATCTTCTATATATCATATTTATCAGTCCGATCAGCGTTTATTAATATATAATCTCTTAACATTACACGTTCAGTTCGCATGGCCATCTATTAATATAGAGCTTTCAATCGACTTTTGAGTACGTTTTAAAACTTTTAACGGGGTTCGATACCACAAACACTTAGGCATAATGTTTAATCAAATCTTTCTACTTTTTTGTTATTGTAAATTTATACGTATTTTCTCGTCAATAGACGATAAGCTTGTATGACAATCTGGTAATACATACAGGGCTTTCACATTTTTTTTAACTTTTAACTGTGGCTCAGTAGAACAATCACCTAGGCCAAATTTGTAAACAGATTTACCAACTTTCCAAACGCTTTTCACAACTTTGTACGATCTTCTAAACAGAACAGAGCCATTAATGCAGATTGCAATTAACAATAAGTTATTGAAATTAAGTGCAAATTTTCAAATTTGTTGAAAATTAAAAGCAGTTTTTAAGATTTTCTACAGAAATGTTCTTCATCACCGTCACACAGATTGTACTTGTATGAAATATGCAATTCCATTGTCTGTGAGAAAAATAAAAAAAAAGTTACCCGGGTGATTTGCTGAGGTTGTCTCCCATGCAAGTGCTTTCTCGCCCGATGAAACTTAACATTTCATATCGGCCGATCACATTTTGTAGATTTTTGAAGTAAGTAATCACAATTTAGATTTTATCTGTGATTCAACTGCAAAATAGTATATCACTTA